AAGAGGGCCCGAACAGGCAACGAGGCTTTTTGGCTCTGATCAGTAGAGAGATAAAGTCAGTCAATTTATACAAGTGAGTGTTTCCAACGACGAGAGGGACTTCGTCAAAGAGACATCATTTTCCAATTGCAAAGAGGGACTTTTGCAGAATTTTAATTAACAAGCAAAGAGGGACTTTTGCAAGTTAAAATTATTTGCCGAGAAGGACTTTGGCTAATTTTTAAGTTTGGTTACGTGTCGCCGGAAAGCACGGTTAAGATAAGTGCATTATTCAGACATTTATTTATCGCTTTATCACATTCTTTATTTAATCAATTATTCGTTAATTATATCTTGTTAATAAATTACTGTTACGTTAAAACGTTCTATCTCTATCCTGACATAAACGGACCTTACATACTCGCACCTTGAATTATCAAATGCAGTCAAAAAGTTGTGTTCGTTGATAGGAAAATTTTTTAATAAAATAGTATTGTTAGTGAATATTAATGGTTTGCCTCTCAGTAAAAGTTCTGGTAGTTAAATATATGTTATTAATGGATGGGAAGGCTCAATGGCTGTCCACTTTTGGCAGCCCCCCACAAAAAATTTTTTTTTTGCTAAATTAAAAAAGCGCAAAATTTTTTCTTTGTAGATTTGGTGAGGGCATAATTAGCGCATAATTTATATAACTATTTATATAACTTTTTTATTGAATTGGCGCAAAGTAGGACGTGGGCTAGCTGGGCAGACATTCATTACTTCCCATTATGAGGATTTCTTACTGAGATTGATGTGAATTTCTTGTTCTGCAGTGTCTTATTCCCCGTGCTAGGAGACAGTGTTTTAACTGACGAGTGACTGGACAGTAATTTTATGAAAGAATATGTCAAAATTTTATATAAGCAAAAAAACAGATATAGTGCTTATTAAATAATACGCATAAAATTGTAAAATTAAAATTACAAGGTTCTAATAATATAATACGAAGATCAATCAAATATAAACCAAACTTTTTTTCTTATCGCTGAACGAGCTAACGTTCGCGACTGAGATCGAGTGGAGGATATTAATGGACGTATCTAGACTACCTTCTTGCCGCGCACATCACCTTGCATTCGTTTGTTTATTAATTAACACGATGAACGAGCAAGCAGTACCTAGTGGCGTTGTGCAACGCATTATCAAGTTCTTCACTTTTAGAGAACCGGCAACTATGGCTCTGAATCTGCACGATAGCTATATACAGGGTGTTTCATAATGTCCGTGCCAACGCTCGTGTGCGAATAGAGTGCGGTAAACTGAATAGAAAAGTCCTTTACCGTTTTGCAATTTTCGCAATAGTAATTGAGATATTAATTAAAAGGGATTGACGAATAATCGCGCGTTGCGCGTAGCTAGATCGTGGGCTGTACACTCTAATAGCGTTTTCGAATAAACGGGGTTTGAACGATCTAGGGTTGATCAATCACTATTTTACTATAAATGCAAGTCTTTCATTGGTGGAGAGGTTGCAATGACGTCATTAACCAATCTTGGGTCGTTCAAATCCTGTATAATCGAAAACGCTATAAACGTGACAACAACGAGGATCGCATGGCAACGAAAAATAACACGTAGCGAGAGCAGGAGTGATATGCGTTGTTATTTTTCATTGCCATGCGATTCTCATTGCTGTCACGCCTAGAGCGTACAGCCTACGATCAACGCGCGATTATTCGTCAATCCCTTTTAATTAATATCTCAATTACTATTGCGAAAATTGCAAAACGGTAAAGGACTTTTCTATTTAGTTTACCGCACTCTATCCGTACACGAGCGTTGGCACGGACATTATGAAACACCCTGTATAAGACGTACTTTATATATGTATACAAGTTTTGGGTATCAAATAAACATGATTTCAAGAAAAAAAGTGCCATGTAAAGACTTGCGTCCTCGGTCGGTTTCACGTTTTCGTTCGTTAAAAACTTGATTATAATAAATAAATGTGAGGTGATGTGCAAAGAGGGAGTTTAAACCATTAGTCCATTAATATCTCCATTCGATCTTAGCCGCGAACGTTAGCTAAGTTAAGAAAATTAAATCGGTAAGCAAAATTCATGAAAGATTTACCAAAATTTTTTAATCTAACAAGGAATAATTTTAAATAATTTACGTGATTATTTCAATATTTATTTGCTAAAATTACAGCATTTTGATTTTTTTAAGTAAATATTTATGAAGTAAATTCTACTTTATGAGATAAAGTAAAGAAGTATAAATAAAAATGTAATATTTATTATCCATACTCTGTTTTAATGATGTAACTGATGTACGATATCGATTTTATCTCGAAAAAGATATTATTGCAGTAGTTTTAAGCAGAAAACTGTTATCAAAGAAGACTAAATTAATATTTACATAATAAACAAATAACATAAATCTATATTTGTATTTTTGGAACAGTGCGCTGTACTAAAGAAATTTGATTTTAAATTAATTGAATTGTCAATTAAAGGTTTGTAATATTATTCAAGATAAAAAATTCAGAAGTTTTTGTATTACTCTACTAATAAAATCTGATTAATTGCATATTTATATTTTTCTAGTGTATTTTCAACATGTGTATATCAAAACCCGTTATTTAAATTTCTGCTTTATACATATAATTATGACGATTATTTTCAATTCAATTCTCTGCGAGAGAATGTAGTCGTGCTTTTTTCTTAAAAATAAAATATTAATTTTTACTGTTTATTCCCACATTTTTTAAACACATATTTTGGATTTTAGATCTTATCGACTACTTGTACCGTCCCTGCGTCACGTGTTTTACATGAAACACTTAGAGACCATAGATATGACCAACCAGCAGAACGTCATGCCGATCAAAGTCAACATGAGTTTTAACGTTTGATGGCACCAATATAATCTGCAATATCAATAATCCACAAACTAAGGTATTGTTGCGTCCTCGCCGTTTTGATTTTTGTCGCCCGATATCGCGTTTGACAGCTGATAAAACCGCGATCGATATATTGATTTGCGGAGTTAATAAAAGAGGATAGTTGCTAAGAAATAGTAAATGTTTAACAGTTACTAGGATATTGTAAATAAACAAGTTGTTGCTAAGAGAATGTAAACAAGGAAACAGATGTCAAATTTTCGGGAGCTGCAGAAAAGTGCGGACGCGTTTCTGCTAGCTCAGCGGTATACGGTTTAAACGGGATTGTTCTGTGTTATTCTGTTCAGTGTTGAGTGAAATAAAGTTTCTGTTGTGTTTTAAAAAGTGTTCTTTCTTTCGTGCGTGCCGATTGAGACGGAAAGACCGTTCGCGGGCGCAACAGTATATATTTTTTTAATTGGATAATAAAGGGTTAAATAAAGAGTACTATATTTAATATTACTTCCTATTTATGAAGAAACGCAGTAAAATAAAGTTTTATATATGGTTTAAATTTTGTTCAAATTGGACATTAAAAATTTTGTAATATTTTTACTGAACTAATTTTTGTCATAATTGGGATTTGGAAATAAATGTATATAAATTTTCATAAAAGCAAATAAAAACTTAACGATTATTTTTTAGTTTGTTATCGAGTATATGAGTAAAGAAAAACTTTCGCGTAGTTTTTTGAAAAATTTTGAAAATGTCATACTTTTGCCAGTCAGCGCGTGTTTGCGGCAGAGTGTCCAAGGGATCCTTATTGAGATTCACTCTGAATCCTCGTATGTACATCTTGAAGGGAGGGTCTCAACTGCCTACATTCCCATTTGCCAACTGCTTCGTTTGCCCATGTCGGTCAACCGTCGACGCTCTCACCCGCTACCGCGCATGGCGCGCACATATGAGTCATTTAGACTCCGCATACTTACCGATAATGAATCGAGCCGGCGTCATTAGCATACTGGCGGTTAAAGAAATAAGATCATACCATTGTATCATTCAGAAATAAAAGTTTTATTCTTTAATTGGAACCTTACATTACGGCACCCACAACATTTTGCCGACAGCTTCAATTACCGACATTTCCGATTGCCTACAGAGCGATTGCCTACAAGCATTATTGCGCACATTTAAAAATTAAAAATACAAACGTACGTTTGCACACAAGACATTATTGCACACATACACATTGCACACATGACATTATTGCGCACATACACATTGCACACATGACATTATTGCGCACATACACATTGCACACATAATATTATTGCGCACATACACATATAATAAAAATGTTAAACTTGTGCTAATGGCAGGACGAAAAATGCCGATTGGCAAATCACCAGCCTGCTTCCTAATCACATCCTCCGCCATCGCTTTTGTGAAAGTATAGGCATTTGGCCATTTTCCTAATAATCTGTAAAAGATAAAAAAATAAGATTTTTTTTTCGCTTTTTTCTTTTCGAGAATTTAAACAAAGAAAAATTCATGTACTGCGGTGTCATATCAGCCAATTTATCATCCATTAAAGCGAATAGTTTGTCGGAATCCATTGGCGCGTCGTAAAATTTTTCTTCTATTATGTTTTATGGACAGTTTGCATATGCAGTTGATACATACACAAATGACTGAAGAAATTGAACAAGTAAAATATCAATCGCGTTGTTTTACTATAAAATTTTAATTTTTAAATTTCCGAGAAAAGTCATCCGATTGAATAAATAATAAATAAATAATAAATCGTAAATAATAAATAATATAATAATAATTAAATAAATAAATAATAAATCATGAAATAATTGTAAGATGCATCTTAGTAATTCTTATCGTTTTTTGTTTCTTAAATATATTTAAATACCTTCAGATTAGGGATTTCCTTGCAAAGATTTAGAACGTCTTTCGTACCTTCGACATTAATTGTTACTGCTAATTTCAACTTCTCATTGAGTTTCACTGTTGCCGCGGTATAGAAGACAATCGAAATTTCTCGAGTGAAAGTAGCCCGATCTTCCGAAGATATTCCGAGATTCGGGTGGTTACAATCTCCCGTTATAGCAATTATTTGATTCCAGAAGTTTGGTTGCTTGTCTTTAAGCCTTTCAAATAGCTGCATAAAGTGAATAATGGTAAATCCACAATTAACTAAATTAAAAGAAATTCATTATAAAAGATTAATAAAAGTCGACAACTTTTATCATTTATAACAAATCTTCGACTTTAATCTTTTTCTTTAACAAATGGTAGGAGTTTTGTTCCTGTTAGCTTTTTTTAATAAATTTTATTTTTATTAGAGTCTAAGGTTGAATTTAAATTAAAAGAAATAGTTTCTTGTTATTATTGTTTTAATAGCGACATTCATAATAAATGACTATATAAATAGATTTCAAACTATTTTTGTTAATCAAAATATTATGTAACCCCAAAAAATATTTGCCATTTTTCATTAATTCTCGGAACTGTTTATGTCAATCATGACTAGTTTTGCAAGAAATTTGTTTTTTATCATAAAATACATACATTATTTTATTTCAATACTGCATTTCAAGTTGTAAAGTTTAAGTTAAATAAATATTTAACTCCTTAAAATGAGCTCTGTTAAGTAAGCGTGATTCGTACTTATTTATTGTACGAATTTAAACTTGTATCCAAGGAATTTAAACTTGTATCAGAAGTTTATTGAAAAATTTGCTCTATATTTGAAAAGGATGCAGAAAAAAACCGGTTTGCATTGATTTTGAAAGGTGCATTGGGAGATAAATCCTTAAGCATCGTTTAAAAACCATATTCGAGTGCACCCAAACACCGTTTAGAAACCAACTAACAGTACCTCAACATTACGGTAGTGCCACTATCTAAGTGGCTTGTTCAGAAACATTTCGGGTGCTCTCGAGAGACTTTTATACCCTGCGAAAAAGTTGGCACACAAAGTACGGGAAAACATAGAAATAAAAGCGAAAGATGACTACAGATAAGAATCCAATTATGCAGTTAAATAATAAAAATAAAATTATGTTCTGGAATCCTGAAGGTAAATAAAATATACATATTTTATATTAATTGATTATAATTTATAAATATTGAAATAGTCTATTAAAGACTATTCAAGCCAGCAATGTAAAAACACAAGGTTATATTTTATATAAGTGTTTTGTATACAGAACACCAAAACGAAAAAGATTGAGTATGAAATATACAGGATGTCCGACAATTGCTGAATCTCTTCTCGGGTGTAGGTAGAGCGGGTTAAACCGAGTAGAAAAGTCCTCTACTGTTTTGCGATTTTCGCAATAACTAATGAGAAATTAATTAAAGAAAATGTATATATGAAATGTATATATGAAACTGTATATATACAGGGTGTCTGGCAATAATCGCCCCACCGGTCATATATAGGTAGAGGAGGTCAAATCGAGTAGAAAAGTCCTTTACATTTTTAATTTCATAATAAGTACTGAGTAATTAACGAAAAAAGATCGGCGAATCCGCGCGAGTAAAGCACGCGCGGTGAGAAGGACGTCCCACTGCTACGCGAT